AGACTTACTACTATACTATATATATATATATATATATATATATATATACATATATATATATATCAGGCTCAGTCACCAAATCCTCAAGTTGGAGTCCGACACACAAGCAGAGTTCCACGTGATAGGGTTTCCCCTTGGTTAATAGGTTGCCGGAACCAGAAGATTTCCTTCGTTCGTGGTAACCCTAATAGAAGTGCCACAACGGTTGCAGTGACTTTGATTTGTCTGTTAAGCGCAGCCATTTACCTTCTTGTGGAAAGATCTAGTTGACAGACTAATTGTTGTTCTTCCTTAATTAAATCGATATCTTTGGTCGGCCCCGCCCCTCTTCAAGACGGCGGCTCTGGCCTTAATCGTTTACATGATAATTTCTACACGTGCACGTTGTTAGCATACAAGTGAAGCAGAGGCCACTAGAGCCTGTCGCCCCAGGTTAAGCCAGGGATGATTATGAGATCCTGAGCAACTTCTCTCGAGCGGTTTGGATATCACCCTCGCCACCAATCGCCAGAGATTCCATTGCTTGAGGGATTCTTATATTCGTGGTATCCTGTGGAGAATCGTCACTTGATCATCTGTCTCATTCCTAGTACCGCCAAGATGATGGAGACCTACCAGTTAAGAGTTGTGGCTGTTTGTTACCTTAGCTGTCTTATTACCGTTTTAGAGAGTAAGTTGTCTTCTGTTCTTTTTTTTAATTATTTTTCCAGCACTTATCGGACACGACAGGTCAGGTAGTCTTCGAAACTGTCTGTGAAGTTGTGATTGATAGTCTAGTGCTCTTCTTATCTTACAGGTTGGGTATGATGAATTAACACCAGAGGCTGGCATGTCGTATAACCAAGTTTTTCCTGTTTAATCTGAACAGGTGTCGCTCTGGAAGGCCACAAGAATATCCTGGAGCCCAATCAAATGCCGATCAAACCACACAAGACGTCCCTTCTTCTTCTCTCCAGAGCTCTCAATGCAAAGACCAAGACAGGAGATGACGCAGCGGACATATTTTCCCAGGGGTCGTCTCGTATTTCCCATATTAATGAGAATCTTCATCAATGCTGCATTAAAGGAAAACATATAGTTCCGATAGGACTTGGTGCGTACTACTTTCTCTCTCGCTCTCTTTCTGTCCAATGTATCAAATACCTGTTTAAAATTTTTAGCAAAAACTTTAACAAAAATATTTTCTCATTCTTTTTTTTGTGTAAAACAGGAGAATTTTAAAGTGCAAGTCGTTTTTATTTTTAGTGTACGTTCATTATATATTTTAGATCTATTAAAAATAAATATAATTTAGCGATTTTTTTCATAAGTCTCGAATCATAAAGGTTATTTTATTAAATATTCCTCTTTTTTTTGGCAATATTTTGTGGTAAAGAGCTAGCTTTGAATCTTACAATATGTATATTGTATAAATGTATGTGTGTGAGTACGCGCATTACGTACAAATATATTCGATACAAATTTTAGATAAGGAAAACTATAACATTCTCCCTTCACAGACATCACTGGAAATCAAAAATATGTTGATATCGGACGATGCCGTCGAAACTGCAGACATAAATTTCATCATCATCACCATCACTACTTACGACACTACAGGCACACAACACAAAAAACATCAACAAATGTGGATTATACAATTACAGAAAATACGTTTCAGGTAGGTGGAAGCTGCTTCTGAACGAAATACCGATAAAATGAAAGGGCTAATTTTTGGTGTATTTGGACATTTTCTTACTTATTTGCTCAAATCTTTCCAATGACAGTTGTTTCTATTTGTACTTAGCTTCTGCTTCATGATCGCGAGATTAAATTCAGAGGTATTATAATTCATGTATCGTACTTGACAATCAAATATTAAAAACAAAAACTGAGCAAACTAGTTTAATTTTTATACGTTCAAACTCGTATTAGCTCATACGCTGCAATCTATACAATCAGTTATACAACGAGATCGTCAATGACAACTGGAAACTAATATACGCATGCTTTTGGGTGTGTTTTTTTTTTCTTAGTTTGACGATTGTTAGTCCGATAATACAAACACATTTTCCAAAAGTTTATATTTTGAATGTTAAATCTTTTTGTAGTTGAATGCACATATGATAAATCTATAGAATTTATTGTTATTATTATTATTATCTACAAACGACACTACCAAGAAAGTGAGTAGTGCAGCATAAATCGCTTTGATAACATGAAATAATTCCAGAACAAGGTTCTAATCAAATATGAGATCAAAGTAAAGATTCCCAATTTATCCTGATTCGTAACCAACTACCTGTTTTGGCTATTCTAATACTAAAATAACTTCCTCTTATAGTTACGTTATAGCTCGTGCTTTACCTTACAATTAAATAAAGTAGAAATATTGTCAATCATTATTAAATTAAATAAAATAATTTTAGTTGTAAAGAGTATCAAAATAATGCACATTTTAGAACATCTCGCACATCATATTTTAAAATCTAGGTATTAAATTTCGTAAAATAAACTCTAAAATATTGTTTACGTCATTATTTAAAAGATAACTCGTTGTTGAAACTCTAATCGTGTATTTGCTCCTATGATCACAGAAGAACTGTTCCTTCTCCGATTTGTGTGAACCAGTATCCAGGATAACAGAAATCCACCATCTACTGACGGGTCCACGAGAAGTAGCAATCGTAGAGAAGTGTAGCTGTAGTACCAATCCTCCAAATTGTCAACGTACTTCCAGCATAATGCATTTTTTTAAAGACACGCCTTTCGAAACAGCAGTTGATGTAGGATCTTGCTGGGGGTATTGTAACGAGGGTGAGTTTTGTTCATTATATTTGTTTGTTTGTTTGTAAAGCGCAAAACTACAGAATGGGCTATCTGTGGTGTGCCCATCGCGGGCATCGAAACCCAGTACTTAGAGTTATAAGCACTTAGACTGTTCGTTATGGCATTTGAAAGTTCATGTGGTTTTTGTGCATGACTTTGGAGACGTATGGAGTTCTTGTTTTCCTACGATACAAAGATAAATACTTTTAATCGGGAAAAACAAAAATGACTTTCATTTTGAATTTATTATAAGTCTCGAGATCCTAGTAATTTACGAGTAGGATTTATGTAAGTAGACTGACTTTGTCATGAAACGCGTGACCTGAGGTTTCGAGTAGGTCGTAAATTAATCTAAATGGTTGTTTCTGAAGGCGAAAAACTAGTTCAGTTCCAGGGCACAAGATGCTACAGAATCGCATCCGATATAGCCGAAGTAAAAGTAAAAGTAATATTTTACTTAGTCTGGAGCCTATATGTAAAGTGTTTTACTTCCGTATTTACGGAACCAATCACAGTCAGGTATCCTCATGTTAAGAATTATCAATACCAATCAAGTTTCAGTGTTACACTTATAGTAACAATTATTTTAGTTTTTGACAATTAATGAGACAATTATTGCGAAACAATATTAAACTAAGAAACTTTTTTGATACTATTATGAAAGAAAAGAAGGCATCAGTATAAAAGCCAAAACGTTGCCTCCTTTTCTTTCAACATGCAATTGCAGTCCATTATAATTCTCAAACCTATTTTGAGAGTATTACTACAAGAAATTAGGTTACAAAACACTGATCTTTTGTAAAAGTTTATATGCCTGATTTGAATCAAAGCACATCACAAGTTCGAATAAAAACATTTGATTTAATCATGTTAAACTTTATTTGTTTTAAAGATTTGCTAAACTAAATCAAACTATTCATCTAACAGAGTATTTTTCTAATTAAAAGGGGTATTACTTGTAAACCATTTTCTATAAAATAATCATTTTGAACTTTCAGTTTTATGAGTAACTTTCAAAACTTAAATTTGGGGTGATTTTATTTTCATACTAAATATTTCACTTTATATTGTTATTTAGAAGAAAAAATACATCCAGCAGTTGCAGTCTGTTAAAATTCTCAAAAGTAAAGTATTGGTTAATGGTTCCTCGGTGTGTTATTAAAGCTAAATTTTTCATCATTACATATTTTGGAACGATCACTTTTTTAGTTAACATCAGTATACTATTTCCACTTCAAACTGAAACGCCCTCGGTGGCTCAGCAGTAAGCCTGGGGGATTATAACGCTAACATTTGGAGCTAACTTTCCAAAATGAAAATAAATCCCCAAAGAAACAATGGTTGATTATTATTCAAAATGTTTGGTGTATCGATGACGATGATGACGGTTTACGTATGTGTGTATTATATTATATGATGCTCTAAAAGATCATCAAATTATACATTGTACAATCAGTTAATGAGATACAATATAATAATATTTGGGATGTATGTTTGCAATAGTCAGAAGGTAATAATGACAGTTAATACATCCACTTTGATACTTGAAATCTTTTTAATAGAAGTCTGTTTTAAAACGATTGACTCCATTGTGTCATTAACGATATGCGTATTGTATCTTACACTTTGCACGCTAGAAGAGACTATGCCTTATTTTAAATAAGTCTACGACTTTTCTGCGAGCAACACTCTCAATCCAGGTGTTAGCTTATCGGAAAGTATTGTCAAAGCCGCAGGCCAGTTCAACAGAACTTAATAGTTTCCTCCACGAAACGACACCAGCATGTTGGGGTAATTTTTTTTTCTTTGGGTGTGCTCGCTTAGTTTGTTTTAATGATTGAAATACTTAACATTCTGCTTCAATAGAATGCCTTTTTGATAATGTTTCACACCCAGGTGCATAGTGATTATCAGCACGTGTGTGACCAGCGTTATCTATATTGCGAGACACTCCAGAAGTGGGTGATTTCAAACACGTGCAGATTGCTGTTTTTTTCTTGTTTTTTTTAGAAATGGAACAATTTAAAAAGTCGAGATGTTAAGTGGCAAGAAATCTCTTATCGCATGCTATACGCTTGTAGGTTATACAGAAAAATGATGTAAGATCGGGATGGAATTAAATAATGTCAGCAGATGGCTGATGGCAAGCATAAACTCAAACACTCATTGACCAATATGTACTCCAATGACGAATTCGATATGCTTAATAACACGCAGATGATAAATATAATGATGGATTAAACGAAGAAAAATATCAGCTTTCTGTTTTTGCAAAAAATGCAGTATCATAATACTTAACTATTTCTCTGTGTTTGTTTTTTTCTTCAGGCACGGTAGTAAATAAGTATTACTATTATTAATATAAAGCCCCCCAGTGGCACAGCGGTATGTCTACGGACTTACAACGCTAGAAACCGGGTTTCGATACCCGTGGTGGGCAGAGCACAGATAGCTCATTGTGTAGCTTTGTGCTTAAATTCAAACAAACAAACAAAAACAAACAATTAATATAAAACTATGCTAAAAGGCACACCTTTTCTTGTGCATTTATTTTCTGTTTGTAGTTAAGCACAAAATTACACATTGGGCTATTTGTGCCCACCACGAGTATTGAAACCCAGTTTTTAGCGTTATAAATCCGTTTGTTTGTAGTTAAGTACAAGGCTACACAAAGTGCTATCTGTGCTCTACCAACTACGGGTATCAAAACCCGGTTTCTAGCGTTGTAACTCCGCAGACATACCGCTGTGCCACTGATGTACTTTGTTTTCTGTATAACTTACTTCTCATGATAAAATACTCAATAGAACATTGATTTATAAATATGTAGAAATCCAGTTTTGTTTTAAGATAATTAGTTCGGAACATCAGTATTAGTAAGAAATTTTTCTATAAAAAATTATTATTTTTAAAATTTTTAATTGTGTAAAAAGGATTACTGGAATTTAATTTTACATAAATTTCTTCCTATAAAATGTTTATATTATATATATATATATGATTCATTCTCGGATAAATGACCCCTGTGGCTCAGCAATAATTCTGAGTAATTATAACGCTGAAAATCGGGTTTCGATACCTGTCGTAAGCACAGCACAAATTATTTATGCAACTTTGTGCTTCAAAACAAACAAACAAGCCTCATCTAATTTCTAACCACTAAGTAAGCCAATAAAAGTAAGATAAAATTTTCTGATTCATCGACTTGGGATAGTGAGAGTAATATTTGTAATATTCTTTGATTAGCATATTATCCGGTTCCTAAAAAATGCTCTTGCTTTGTTGTTGGATTTTAATATAATCAAAACTGCATTTAGATGTTTCTAATAATAATGTTATTGTAAAATAATATTTAGTATTGCACTAAAGGCATAGAGTTAACAAAGTCATATTTTATTGTCTCTACATTTTTTTAAAGGGAGTGTCAGATTTCTTCTCTTGAAATATGAAAAAAAAGAGTTAATTTTTTCAGCTAAAATGTTTCATGACCTGTAAGTTTACACGAAGGTGTTGAGAACGTGCAAAAAGCATGTCATCCTTTGTGCTTGCCCCCCAGTTGCAGACTTTATGTGTTCGTAAATAGCATATAACTGTTATGATAATTTCTAATGATCAGTGGGATGTGGTGGGCTCCTTTCACTTACGTTACAGTTACGCGTCCTGTACGAAAGCATCACTGTTTCAACATCTTGGTTTTCCTTTTCACTTACACATATGGCTCATCAGACACTTATGGCAATGATTAAACAAATCCTCCTTTTGTCATCTGAAAACAATCATCATGTTTAAGCTCAGAAAAAACCAATGGGTAATTGTTGTCTAATTATTTTGGAATATATTGATCGGCAGAATCTGGTTGAATAATCCTTGAAAAATGCATTAAGTTCTTATGCGCTGAGATGAAGGATAACTTGTTTAACCCGTGGATGTCTAGCATTCGGGATGTTTAAGCTATTTACAATTGCTTCATATATTTATTTGTCCCTTGACTTTGCAGATATAAAGTGTATGTCCTGTACATTACATCATCAACTTTCTCTACACCTGATGCTTTCTTCTAAGTAAATGTGTTACAATTTTTAATTTTCACAGTGGCCTCTGTGACAGATAACATAACGTCTACACGACCACACACATCGCCTACACTTATCAAGAAATCATAATGTGCTGCTGCTAAAATTTTTCCATCTATTTTTTCCATCTTTTACGCAATGAACCACTCTTGTATTATTGGTTAAATCATCCTAAGACACCTTCTTTCAGCTGTTAGCAAAATATGTCTTTCATGTTTATTTACGATGCATAATTTGCCCAGCCACACAAAATAATTGTAGGATCCCAATAGGTTACATGTGTTTAAATTTTCCAGAGAATATGTGATTTGTATGTTGGTAAAAACGTACACTATATCTGGATATATGTTCGACCACGTGTCACTATAATTTAACCAATCCAGTTAGACCACATCGTATGGAGTTTTCTCTCAATAAATATCAACCTCTCTGCATGACTCTGCTTAGACATTGTGTCGTTTTAAGTTTCCTAGTATCTGTTGTTTTTCTCATTCTCATTTGAAACATCGTTTACCAATTACCAGTTAGTCGTTCAATGTTGTTTTTGTGCCCCCCAGTGGCACAGCGGTATGACTGCGGACTTACAACTCTAGAATCCGGGTTTCGATACCCGTGGTGGGCAGAGGACAGATAGCCCATTGTGTTGCTTTGTGCTTAATTACAAACAAACAAACAAGCTATTTTTGTAGTGTGACCTACAAGATGGCGGACAGTAATGGGGATATCTCGGATGTTTAAGTCAGTGAAAAATTATAGTGTTTGTGACAGAAATGGTTATATGGAATTCCCCAAAAACAAAATTGTACATTGGCTTAGCCCAACTGTTCAAATTAACACGTTCTTATCGAAACAAGTCCCTTTATTTGTTTTGGTTTGGGTTTTTCCACTCTGAAACGACAAGTAATTTGTAACTTA